ACAATGCTATTTCTAAGTGGTTTTGAACTATAATCTCGTTGGGTGCCCCTGTTTTGTTGCTTTCATTTACCACTCGCAAACGTACGTCCATGGCCTCTCGTGCCATTTTTTCAAATTTCTTTGAAGAACAGTGAACTAAAAAACCATCCACAATTATACCTTTCGGGATTGTCGCGTACTCTTTTTCCGAAAACGTTTCTCGAAATAGCTGTATATGCATAAACTCGTCTGATGGCCTAATACGTATCAATGAACATGTCCACGTGATCGTGAGTTGTTGCGCGAAAGTTAAAACGAAGGCAAAAAAAGATTGAAGGGGAAAGGGAGGGGAGGAAGGTGACACTTTTCGGTCTTGATAAAGTCGTCATAGACAGTAACACCGGATTGCAGCGATTGAACGGTCACTGTTTACTTTAAGATACAACCTATACCTCTATGTGCTAATGTGGAGGACGGATATGATTTCAGGCCATAGATTTTAGGCCATAGTGCTTATTCGAGGTTGGGCGCTTACTCGGATAAATATATGGTATGTGGAGGGCGTAACATACTTTGTCTTAAGATACCTGACCACATTTTTTATTGGAAGGGTAATTAAAAAATCACCCGTCTGTGAAGTTTATTCAACCCTCCGAATTAGGAAATTCTCACAAGTTTAGTTTAGCTTCTTTGCTACAACAATTAATTAGGACTGGAATAATTTAAGTGATTCTGTGATTGAATTTGAATCATATAATGGCTTGAAACGAGCCGTGAGTAATTTAGTCATCTTATTTGTCATAACAAGAGTATAGATGATGGTTTTTAGTATCATTTACAACTATAACTATTTAATTTATTTATGATATATTTATAAGTAACTTGACTATTTAAATGATATCACGTGTATTATGTAAATACTGATGCAGTTTTTCGTTGCTTTTCATTATTTCAAGACTGTAAGCTCCTGCTGACCATATCTATGTAATGGGAAACGTTATAGATTTAAGTTGTAGATGTATAGATTTAGAAAATGAATTAGGGCGAGAGCGATTTCTTTTTCATTTAAAATAGCCTGCGAGAACATCAGTTTCTCCTCGCTCCTCGCCGCTGGGGACGTTTCACGTTTCACGAGGAGGTTCCTCCGCGCGAAACGTCCCAAGTGGCGAACGGCGAGGAGAAACGAATGTTTTCGCAGGCTACATTCAAAACAAATCTACATGAAATTGTTCAACATTTATTTTCCATTGTTTTATTTCAACATCATAAGGAATCGGCTCCGGATGATCATGCACCGCCATACAAAAAAGAAAACAAAAAGAAAAAGAAACACAGAGGAAGTAAAAATTGAACCACACCGTATACCGCAGAACTCTTAATGAATTCTCTCTCCCGGCACTGAAAAGAAAATGACGTGCAGAATTACATTGCGCATGATGAAATTCCGCAAACTTATTCCTCCTTACCACAAGAGAGCTGACCTGTATTTGTGGTAGAATATGGATTTTCCGCCGGGTGTTTTCAGTAAATTGAAATATTCCTGCGGTAATATAACAAACCTCTATATAAAAAAGCCCTGAACTGTACCTTATCAATCACTTTATTGTACAATTATTTACTTATCCATCATGCTATCTGTTTTGCTCATTTTTAGTTTATCATTAACCTCTCATGTAAATTTAAATTCAAATTTTAGGAGCCCTATCGCCAGCCTTGAATTCAGGTTTGTTTTAATTCCCACTTCAACAAATGACGTCTGACATTAGCCTCTCTGCATTAGAGATCCGACAAGAAAGAACCAGTCGGTTTTATTTACACGTTGAGAGGACCTCTGCATTCAAGGGTCTTTTAAAGTCCTTAGTACAGTCGGTATAACGAACTATTTTCTTTACCCCGGCCAGTAACGTGACGGAATACCATTCCATTCCAAGAATTAATTGGGGATCATTTCGGGGTCGACGTGAAGAGAAATGGGGATCATTTCGGTGTCGATTTGGGGATCTGTGGGGATCATTTCAGGGTTGGGGGTCATTGCGGGGTCGGGATCATTTCGGGGGCTGTACAGCTGCTCCTGTCGTTTTCAGAGTTTGAGCCATGGTTCTTACCCAGGTTTCCTACTGAGCGTTTTCCCAACTGAGTTCTTTTTCCCGACTGGTTCTTTCTGGCCTCTCCGATCCCACGGTAGGTTCTTTGAAAACTATAGCTAAGCTCTTCTTTAGGATATGTTTTGCATATTTGGCTGTAATTAAAAGTTCTGTTAATACAGTGGAACCTCGATTCAACGAACCTCTATTTAACGAAGTCCTCGATATAACGAATGATTTCCTATGTCCCAGCCAAAGTTATAGTAAAATGCATGGAATAGAACCTCGATATAACGAATTCTTCGATATAGCGAACATAATCCGGAAGCCCAAACGTAAAATCTACCTCGATTTAACGAATTACACGCGACAGAAAATAAATGCTGAACAGATCAACAGTTAGCCTGCGTGCAGACGATAACTAAACTCTGATTAGTACCGTCTGCGAAGCAGCGCAGAGATCTTTGTTCTGGGCCCCCAACGGACTCAACGAATTACCGGAAGTGCGTTTCGAATTCCCCTTCAACCTGATTGGCGATCACGACAAACAAAACAAAGCCTTTTTAACTGGCCAATCGTGGCGCGTACTCAAATCTGGGTACACAGCTGGAAGTCCAGAACAAGGATTTCGGCGCTGTTTCGCAGACGGAGTTAACCAGAGTTTAATTTCGTCTGCGCGCAGGCTAATCAACAGTCAACAAATCCTTTAATCCTTATGGTAAAGAGACAGCAACCTTTCAGACAAAGGCTTATTATGTCACAGACATTGGCGCGATAGTATTTCGACATCAATTAACCTCTGCTTTATCTTCTTTGTCTCTTATTACAAATCAATCATTAACTATGACCTCGATAAAGCGAACTTTTTGGTCATTTCCCCTCAAATTCGTTATATCGAGGTTTTCTATTTAACGAACCCTCGATTTAACAAACAAATTTGGTCGGTCCCCAGCGACTTCGTTAAATGGAGGTTCCACTGTATATCAGGCCCGTAGGGAGGGGGGGTAAGACGGGTGCGCTCGCACCCCCCTTCTCTCCACAGGCCTGGCACACTATTGGAAGATCATCATGATCAGCAGGCCCTAGAGAAGAATACGGGTTCTCAAGTGCTCAAAAATTGTAAAATAAAGTTGTCCCTTTGACACAAAAAAATCAGTTTTGAAGTTAAAAAAAGTGAAATCAATGTTTTACAAAACGCTCGTAATGCAGTATCAGCTAGACAACCCAATTTCCCCCCTAGATACTTGTACCTCTGGCCTTGTTTGGTCCGTCTCCTCGTCGGATCACACCCTCCGGTAAAAAAAAAAAATGGCTACGGTCCTGTACATAAGTTATGACATGGCCACGAGTTCCTGGCTGCCGTCACTGATGATTGATACTACAAGGAGGGAGTGGGGGCAGAGGGCAGAGGATATGTTTTTATAGGCATTATTAATATTTTTTTGTATATCCCCAAACACTGTTCATAATTTTTCGACATCCACTCCTGACTGGCAAAATGAAAAAATGGCAACCCCCCGTCTTGATAAGAAAAGTGAAGTACTAGCAACGATGCAGAGTCAGTAGAGATATATGTTTAAATTAGAGAACTGAAACAAGACGAATCAAGATCATAGATGGTAGTATTTCTGGCGTAAAGGAAGTTCTGGTCGGAGTCATGTCAGAAATCGTGGGCTATAGAGACAATCATACTTAGTTAAATTTAGGCCTCAAGCAGAAACGTAACCTGAGATCAGACAGAAATCTACCAAAAAATCAGGCCGAATTCAATTGGCCCTCAAAGTTATGAGAAAGTAGCTACCCCCCTGTATCCGTGAATCAGGGGCTTTGAATAATGCGCCAGCAGCTGGGTCAGGAGGGCTGGGTCATACCGTTGTCACAGTGATATGTGTATCCCCGTGATATGTGTATTCTCGTACACATATCCCTAGTGATATGTGTGTCTCTCCAATATGGCTGCTAGTGAAATGTGTATCCCCTACCCCCCCCCCCCCCACCCGTCCAAACAAGTGTCGGTTTTATTTCTGTTGTTTTTGTGAATTTTGGAAATCATCGTCACAGGGACTACAAATGATTCACGATTATGAGCAACACAATCGACAAAAGAGCAACGATTCGAGACAAAATAATCGCAAAGCTTTCTCTGGCGAGTTTACTTCTTCGTGGGCCGCAATGTTGATGTAAACATTCGTTCTCGCTCCTCTCCTTATCCAGCGTGATTATAATTTAAATGCCAACCTCGTCCCCAGGGCTTTTCCCTTAAAAAATGGGTGACCCATTTTTTAAGGGAAAAGCCCTGGGGACGAGGTTGACTAGTAGCGTTAGATAAGTACGACTGACAAAATTTCATTCAGCAAGGGATAACTCGAAAAGTCAAAAAATAGAGAGGGGATACACATATCTCTGCGCTGGTTGCTGGTTCAGTGATATGTGTATCCCCCCCCCCCCCCCCTGCAAGCACCATAATAATCCACCTTTTAAGTTGTTTGATTCCTGTCTTAAACCTAGTTGTATTACTAGTCGTTCTGATAGATTATATGGACGATATTCCCTTTAGCAAGAGAAGAAAAAACAGGGGATACACATGTCTCCGCGCCGGGTCAGGGATATGCGTATCCCTTTTGCGAACTCCCAATATTCCACCTTTGCATGTTGTCTGATTCCTCAGTTAACCCTTGTTGTGTAACTAGTTATGTTAGATGATATCGACGATATTTCCTTTAGCAAGAGAAGATATTTCCTTATTGTGTCGCGGACGAGCATCAGTGTTTATTGTATCCTCCGGGATACACATATCACTAGGGATATGTGTACGGGGATACGCATATCACGGGGATATACATATCACTGTGACAACGGGTCATCTTGCTTTTAAAAGAAAACCGCTGAATTAGAGAAAGCAAATGACGTAGCTGCGTCAACTGCTGCGTCACGGTAGGTCGTAGCATAAAGAAAAGCGAAAAGCTCTGGTTGCACGCAACCTATATCCGATTGAAAACGACTTGCTCCGTTTATTTTAGTAATATGCATCAACAGAATCCTGCTCCTCCGACACGAATTGTTATTCACCCCACATACAGACAGTCAGGACAATGTGGTGGCCCCGAATGCTGCAAGAAATGTGCTCTGATTTTCTTCACGATTATGTTTTTGCTCGTTGGTTTTATCTTGACTATGGTTGGAAATTTGGCGAAACCTTTCTGGGGCCCTGAAGATGACTGGTGTGACTTCTGTAAAGAAGACAGGCTTGAGACGGAGCGAAATCTAAAAAATTGTCGAATCGTTGGGCCAATTTTCTTGGCGATCGGCGTTGTATTGTTGATTGCTACCATAGTGTATTCTCGCATCCAGAGAAAGAACAATGCCGGACAAGTTATAAGCGGAGCGAATACTGGTCAGATAGGTTCAACAACTCAAGGAGGATCGGGCAATGTAACGACCACCACTCAATATCCTAGCCCCTATGGCTTTCAACAGCCGGCGTACGGGCAAACACCCATGTATCCCCCGGGATCATATCCGCCACCGGTACTGCCCGCTGGACATTCGACTTATCCGACAGCACCAGCTTATCCTTCATCGACTCAGTACCCTTTTAATTCTCCCTATAATATTCAAGCACCATACCCAACAGAGATGCCTCCACCCCCATCATATGAAAGTACTGTTGGCCAAAGTGACACTGCTCCAAGTGCCCCTCCTGCAGAGAAAGTGGAAGCATAGAAATGAAAGAAAGAAAGGTTGGATTTTGGTCAATTTTGCTTGTTGCCCTCGAGTCATATTACTTGACTCTCTCTTTAACAATTATTCCTCGAGGCGGAATGGGCTATTGACTCAGAGACCATGAGGGCTCAAGGAATAATTATTTTAGTAAAATCCAACTAGTCGGTCAAAAATATCAAGAAAAGACAACTTTAGCCAGTTAAAACTAGAAATTTTGCCGCCAAAAAGCCAACGCTTTCGCTACTAGTGGGCTATAGCATATAGCCTAGTAGTAGCTCAACCACTCAGAATGCAGCATTGATGGTAGACCACTAGTTGGATTTTACTAATAACAGATACCTCTTTAAGATGGACACCTTGGTGCTATAGACACCTAGAATTGGTTCCTACAGGTACCTTACTTTACTCCCTTTATGCAACTCTCTATAAGATTGACAACACTATTAGACAGGCACTTGGTGACATTCCCAAAGTGTTCGTCTTACAGAGAGTTGACTGTACATATTACTTTAACTTCAGGGCTCGAAGTTATCTTTTTAGTGCACTTGCAAAGTTTTGCTAGTAAGATTTTTTTCGACTAGCAAACTGGTGAGACCACAAGCAATTTATTTCCCTTTGTTTGGGAGACATGGATAATTCTAACTCGCAATCGCTTGCTAGTGGATATTTTTCTTACTCGCAGATTATCAAAATCACTCGCATTTTGCGAGTTTGCAAGCGTTAATTTCGAGCCCTGAACTTGTGACAACTTTTGATTACTTTACAAAACATGTCCCAACTTCCTTCAACTACAGGTATAATCCATTCTTTGGTTAAACCAGGTTTTAAAGATTTGAGCAGGTGTCTGCTAAATGGCTGAACAATTCAAGTTAGTGATCCATACAAATAGTATTAAAAGTAAGGACTGTTGTTGACAGCGACTGATGTTTTGACAACCCTGGGTAGTCATCTTCAGAGTCTGAAGATGACTACTGCACAGGTTGTCGAAATGTCAGTCTCTATCAACAATAGTCCTATTCAGGACTATGCTCACCCGAACAATCATACAATGTATTCCACCCTCTTCTGAAATGACTCCTAGGCTTAAACCTTTCACAGTATTAAAAGTATTGGAAATCTGGTGAGTCATTTGTTTTGGTAAAGTTGAACCTCTCTATAACAGCCCATCTGATAGGGTGCAATAGAAAATCAGAAATTGTGTGATATTTTCAAGGTAGATTGTGCAATAAGATAGGACTATTGTGTGATAAATTATGCAATTTTGGGGGGGCTAATTAGGTTTAATTAGGATTTTTTCAGGTTTCAAAGGAGAAAAATCACTTTAATTTTGTGTAACAGGCAATTTGAATGTAAGAGAATCAGAATAATAAAACATCTATTTTAAAACAAATTACGTTAAATTTGTCCAATAAGTTTGACCTGGGAAAGAAAACAAATAGAAAGAAAGAAAAGGACACTTGTTTAATAATACATGATGCCGTTACACCACTGACCATACTGCTTGTCTCGGAAATCAAAATGGCTGCCCAGATACCCTGATCAAAGGTTTCAGATGTCTTGCAAGGCTTTCTTTAGTCTTAAATCACCTTAAATAACATTAAGATTGGGAAAATGTTTGATTAAAGTTAGAATTTATTGTTTACTTTACTTGAATTTTGAATTTAGCATTATTTTTTTTTACGAATTATGCGATTTTCCTCAAATTGTGCGATCGGATGCAATTTGAGATCAATTTTGCGAAAACGCACCATCATGTAATATCAGATGGCCTGCTATAACGGTTACCTTGGGGACAGAAGAAGGTGGCCATTGTAGAGAGGTTGAAACAAAAGTTAATGTATGGACTGTGTGCCGAAAAAATGGCCGTCGCAGAGAGGTGGCTGTTAGTGGAGGTTCAGTTGTATTTGCTATAAGAGAATGGGAAACTTAGGGAACCTAGTATCATACAGTATAACAAGTTTAGCTAAATAGCTAATCTATAAGCTAATCTACCACACGGGAAAATGCCATCTTATAAGGTCTTGAGCAAAAGTTGACCTGGGTCAAGTTGAAACCAACCCAGCTTTAGACAAACTGAAATGATGAACACTGCCTTATTCTTCTATCAATTTCACATTTTGCCCAACACTGGGGCCCATTTCTTGAAAGTCCCAATAATAATATTACAGGCCCTCTTTTTTTACTTTCAATTAGGTGCTTTTTTTCACTGAGCTGTTTATGTTTGCTTCATGTTTATGGTGAGATGATAGTTTTGAAACCAAAACTACAAGACAGTATAAAACCATCTGTTATTATGAAACCTGGTAAATGATATTGTAAAATATGACTTTGGGCCCCTAAAAGATGTTGGGATTTTTAAGAAACAGACCCAGGCACATTCAGGTGGCCTGAATGGAATATTGTAAGTGGTTAATATTATTGTCTTATTTAATTGTAGGTTTGCCTGAAAGTTTTGTTATCTGAAGGATGAGGTCAAGTGAAGTACTGAAAATGCCTTGAATCTGTCACTGTAAGACAAATACTATACATGTATGTCTTTTCTGATTATTTTAAAGTTCTACTGAAACAAATAAGAACTAGTTTGAAAATATAATGATTATAACCTTTTTTAAAACTACACTGTAGTTCATTATCTTACAAATAAGAGAAATTACCCCTTAAGTCAATGAAAAACTAATTTTCGTGCATGTTTTTTATGCCAATATTGCTATGCTGTGGAAGTTAATGCAACATAGCACAATGCTTAGTTAGATATGTATCATGTGGGAACCAGGTGGTCAGCACATGCATTGCAAGTCAAGTGCATAAGAGATGTCAACAACTTACAAATAAATGCCTAGTTGAAGTGTCAACTCAGAACTGAGAAAGAGAGAGAGCCTCTAGAAAATTGAATTCTAATCAGAAAGGGATGGGTTCTGAGTGTTGTACCCCAAATTAGGTGTCAATGACAAAATTTGTATCCTTTCCAAAAAATTTAAAAGTTTTTAAATTTGCATCTTCTTATAATTGCATGATGTCAAATGGCTTACAGGACAAGCCAAGGAAATGTCCAAATTTGTTGAACTTAGGGTCATTTCTCAAGCCTAAATCTCTTTGTGCACTCAATCTCTTCAGAGCAAAAAAATCAAGTAAAAAGAGACAAGTATAATGTTTGTTTCAGTGGCACTTAGAACACTTCTTAAAGGTATTTTTTAGTGTGGATTACTGGTATTTTAGATGTACAATGTATTACCTTCCAGGCCCCTGTTGTTCAAAAGCTGGATAGCGCTATCCATCGGATAAATCTCTATCCAGTAGATAACAGTGGATTAAGTTTTGATGAGTTTGCATTTGTTGTGACCACTGTTACAGCTGTAACAACTGGGACATGTATGTATAATGTAATGCATATTTTTCACAGAGTATGTCGCTACACTCTGTATGGGAAGAGGTAATAATTGCTAGCACTTTATATGCCATATTATTGTTCTGGTTTTGTATTTAATGAGAATTTAACTCCTTTGTTATGGCAAAACAATGTGAAATATTTATTGCAGAAAAAAAGTATGAATTCCAATAATTTGTTTGCTGAAAAACATGTGCTAAGAAGATTTAAAGCTACAAAAAATAGCATATGAGAGTAAACTATTTTTGCCTTCAAATTTCCTGCAGGCAGCTTTTTAAAGTTTTGATGAGATTGCATTTGTTGTGACCACTGTTATGTAATAAACTGGGCAGGTCCTTAAGTGGAGGGGGGGTGGGGGGGAGGTTGCCTTTGCCAGCTCCCTCTTTGCACCACAGAAACACTTTTTTCTTATTCCATACACCTCGCTTCAACTGTTGAACCTCCGAAAAGGGGAACTGATCATTTAAGTAGGTAGCCACTTACGTTAGGTGGTCTTGTACAGGATGAGCGGTGGCTGCTTAAGCAGGCTGTCACTGAAGTAGTAACAAATGACTTATTTAGAATTGCTCATTTTTTTGGTGAAATATTTACCTAAGCCATTATTAATTTTATTGTCTTTTTGTACATAATTTAGGCAACGACATTAAACTGTTGGCCGTCCTGATCAGTTACATGTGATTGCAGTTAAAGCTCGAATGAATAATATATCCGTTTAGACCAGCAATGTATTGAAATCAAGTGAATATTTGACGACGCTTTCCTAGGGAAAGGAGACCAAGTGAACTTAACAGAAAATGATGCAATTTCTTGTTTTGTTCATTAATTTATGTCTAGTTTTTCAATTCAGTTTTATCCTTGTTTCAAGTTTTACTTTCCTTTGTTTTTATTGAGGCTAAATTGAGGTCCTATTGATTGATGTACAACATTTCTCCACATGGGTTCTCCAGAGTCGGCGTTTGAGAAAACAGTTCTTTCGATTTAGGAACCTCTCCTTGCCTCTCGATATGCTCAATTTTAAAGTATCTGCTTATTGTTTTCTCCTTTAATCTGTGGGTTGAGCTATTGATATGACCTTACTTTGTTTGAATGTAGTAGTTTCAACTCCGTAGTAAACCTGGATTTCGTGGTCGAGTTTCAACGCACTGATTCTTCCCGGCATGGTGAAGGGTCGGAGTTCTATTTGTCACAAAGTGATTGTCTTTTCTCTTCTATTCTTTTTTATTATTACTATTATCGTTATTAAGACTGCCAAATAGACCTTGTGACGGTTTTCGACGTCATCTTGACGAGTAGGCAAACGTGTGAGAAATTACAGTGTTTGTATGAGAATCTAATGTCGAATGATTTCCGTAAAACGGCTGTTCTGAAAAAAATATTACTTGTAAACTAAAGCTACAAAACAAAGGATTGTACTTAAAGATTTTGGGGGGCGTACCTGTGCTTAAATTTCTCCAGAGGCTTGTTTTAGATTTTCCATATGTTTGTCTCTAATTTTTCCTGGGACTTTCTTACAGACAAATGTATAGAAAATTTTAAAAAGTGATTCTAGGTCTTCTAGCGCATCTAACGCCCTCAATTTTTTTCAGTAGATTCCTTAGGAGTGAAGCTTTAGTTTACAATTCATATATTTTTTTCAGAACCTTCATTCTACGGAAATTATTCGACATTAGATTCTCATACAAAGACTATAATTTCTCACGCGTTTGTCTACTCGTCAAGATGGCGTCGAAAACCGTGACAAGGTCTATTGGGCCAAATTTAGCTTTTGTTTTTCCCAACAAAAGCCCTATCTTTGTCGCCTAAGAACAGGCTCAAAGATCTTCCTGTTTAGTATAATATTGATGTATAGTTTGAAACAAAGTAAATTTTGAACCAAGAAATATACTGGACCACCGTGTATATATATTTAATTAAGGTATTATTTAAGGTGTAAATGTATTAGACACCAAGCTGAGCTCGCTACGACAAGTTAGGGAAATATATAATTTATTTATACATTTATTTTTATTCACTCGTTACACCAAATAAAAACCACGGATAATAACCTACCTTACGTCTCCTACATTGCTGAATGTCCAATTTTTTTAAAAAACAGTTGTTGATCCGGAGTTGCTTCTACTTTTGAAAGGGATGCCTTTTATACCCTCAGTTTACATGGTATCACGTACTTTTGACGCGATTTTGGACGATCTCGGTCGTAATTGTTTGGATAAAACTGATCGTGATGTCTCCATGTAGAACTGGTTTCCATATTAATGGTCCCAAAAATGGAGGCCATATTCTTCAAGTCCTTCAATGGGTGGTGTTTTCCCTGTCGTTGCTAAGTTGTGCTTTAATTTTCATTTGCATGGAAAATATTTTGTGGTTCAGAGAGTTCACTGAACCGATTACCTTTTATTTGTCTGACCAGCAGTAGATCGGTTGTGAGTAGCGTCATTGACTCATTTCCCTCAGGCACTCTCTAAAACAATGTCTTTTGATTTTCTTTTGTTTTTCGCAGTACATGAAGTCGTACAAAACACGAATGCCTTAATCTTTTAAAAATATTTTCTCGTTTTTGTTCAACTTCCTTCCGTTTACTTAGATACAGAACTTCACCTGCAGGCATAGTATAGAAGCAGTCTGGATGGGGGCCTTTTGGATCCGATAGGGCCAGATAAATTTTAGTTTCCACTTCGCGAAGACTGTTTTTGGTATTAGACTCTTAACCGTGTTTCTGTAAAGTCCCGTACTTGTTAGCTCTGGAAGGAAAAATAACTAAAGACCATTAACTTTATCGGGGCTTTCGAGCCATTACTCGGGCGCGCACTTTAGTCCCGCGATCTAAGAACAGACAAGGCCCACCCAACGACGGTTTCCTTCTAAGTACATTGAATCAGGAGCCCATAAATACACTTTTTAGACTATCCAGTGCACTTTTAGATACGGCTGGAAGTGCATTCTAAGTGGGGCTATAAAAATTGTATCTGTTCAGTCATCCTAGGGAAACCTGTGTCTTTCCGAAATTACAAGGTCTTCAGTATTATTTTCCCGAAAATTTCTAGATGCAATTTGAACGTATTACGAAAGTACTCCTGATTCCTCTTTCTATCACATTTTTAACTACGAAAATTTTAGGTTTTCTTTTATTCTACTAAAAATAGCCTATCCTGGGAAATAAAAGGTGAAAATTAAACTTTAGAAAATCGTAAGGAATGTATTAGATAGGCTTCGAAAATTGAACACGAATGGAACGGTCATCTAGAAATTTGTAGCCGTCAACAAGTAAAAAAAAGGGGCGCGCGAGAACGAGACACGCGTGTCTCCCTCGCGCGCGCCCATTCTCTCTTTCACCCACTACTTTCAAGCGCCTGCTACGCAGGCTAAAGTAATAGAAAAGTCTAGGCAATGTTTGTTTCTCCCAGCAGATATTACAGAAAACAGTCGTTGGGTGCCCCTGACAGACGTACGATCGCAACCTGAAACGTAAATCAAAACATACACTACTCCGGCTTTCATCGCATCGAATCTCGAATGTACCATTTCTCGCGTAAAAGAATACTTGACGTCACATTTGAGACACAGTGGCAACGTTCTGCAGTTTTGATCAAGTGAGGTTAAGCAGAAAAATTAGTATATAAAGTACAAGTAAAGAACACTTTATGATTTTACCTGGAGGTAGGAATGGATGGCTGACTCCATTTATTGTGTGCGTCTGTAGGCGGCAACCTATTAGTTTTGTTCCACTGACTGGCAAATAAACAAAGTATGTTAGTTGTCGCTGTGCGTAGTTGAGAAGTTGAAACGCTTAAACTGAAGAGGAAAATATCGTGAAGTGTACATCATTCCTGATACATCAGAAACGGTTAGTACCTTAATCCGCTTTTGAATTACTCCGATTAATCAGACCTCTTTGCGATGAAGTCTTCGTCAGAGTATGTCTTGGTTGGGGCACCCAACGGCTGTGTTCTGTAAAATATCTGTTACGGTAATTTTCTATGGCTTGAGGAGGGTTAAAAATTTCTAGATGACCGTTCCATTTACGTACAATTTTCGAAACAAATCTAATGATAGCCTGCGTGGCAGGCGTTTGGAGGGGAAGGGGAAGGGAAAGGGAGTTTTAGGCGCGAGATAAACGCGAGGGCCTGGGCGCGCGAGGAGGGAGGGAAGGAAACGCCTGCCAGGAAACCATTGTTTTCGCCATCCCGCCTAGTAATTATGTATGCAAAAATAACGCAACTGTGAATGACTAGCTGTCAAATAAGTCTGGCCGCGATACACTTAGTTTTAGCTTTTGTTTTTCTAGAACAAGATATCTGAAGTGTGGGTACGTTCTATAAAAAAAGTTCAAATGCGGTCGTCCGTTGAAGAAGAAAGTTGCAACGATGCGTATCTTGTTGTATAAAATCCAGCATAAATCTATTTACGTCGTTTGCTGAAGGAAACGTGCTGGACGTCGCAACTTGCATGCAATGTTTGTCTGAGAAAAACTTACAGTCAAGCCAGGTCAAGCGTACCCCCCAAAATTCCATTAATAAATTTATTATTCGAAAGTTGAGTCCGTTGGCAGTTGTAGATTTCAGATTCATCTCTACATTCTTGCATGCGTGATGAGCCGTGAATTTACACGCGATTCAGTTACGAAATTTCTACCAGCTCAGTTTCCCTGAAATTGATGTAAATGTCTTCTAAGAATTTTAATTCATTCAAAGATTTTCAATCTGACCAAATGCAGACAAGTTCTCGTAAATTATTCACTGCTCATTACGCATGCAGTAATTCCTATTTGAATTTGACACCAGTCACGGGAACGACTAACGGATTCATTTTTCAAATAATCAATTCATAAAATAGAATCTTGTGGGGTACGCTTGACCTGTTTTGACCGTAAAACACTTTGCTGGCTCTCGAACTGGATCCAGCGGAGCATACAAGAGAACGCTTGTAGCGGGGAAAGGAGAGCTGAACTTCGAAGATCTACAAGAAAACTGCTATCAATTATTAAAGTAAGTTCCTGGTGGCTTTATAACGTCTTTAACCAGCAAGACCAAAAATCGTTTTCAACAATCTGGTCGTTGATAAAGCGTAGCCTGCGTGGTAGGCGTTTGAGGTCAAACAGCAGATAAAAAGCACACAGCTGGCAGCATGATATTTCCTTTCTTGAGTGAGTGAGTAAAACAAGCCGTTGGGAGATGAGACTTCTCAAAACCAGTCAGTAAAACTCATCTAGCTGTCAGATTTTTCCCTCCACACGGTTCTTTTAACTGTCTTCTTTTAGTCTCCATTTCAAGCTGAAATTGATGCCTTCAGTTTCTACTTCTAACGATAAATTCCGTACAGACATCTCATCACGGCTTCACTGACAAGATATTT